CAGAAGTTTGCCCAGTAATGCAAAGGCAAACTCATGAGAATTCTCCCGTCCTGCAACTCACGTCCCCGTGGGTCTCGCGTGTGACTCCCCAGCCTGCCTCCCCCATCCAACCCCCATCTTTTAGACGACAATGTCTCATGTCACCCAGACTGACCTGGAACTTGCTATGTAACTCAAGAGGACCTTGACTTCTTTGCCACCTCCCAGATGCTGAGGTTCTGGGGATCAAGCACAATCTAGGCAAGCGCTTTATGGGTGGGGCTATCTCCAACCCCAGCCTGCCCTTTTGCTTAATCCATTGGTTGTCACTTTGCACATTCTCACAGACTCTATAATGTTCATTCCAGAAGAGGCACAAACTGTCTGCTCAGTGGAATGCCGCTCCCCACACTTCCCATCCTGCTCTGGGTTAGACTCTCCTACGTGGCTCTAGCAACCCTGGTCTAGCTTGGTGCCTAAAGGGTCCCACAGACTGGGTCAGCAGGGCCACCCGCATACATCATATACGTGTTTGTGTGTAAGTTTCCCACACGTGGAATTGTACATTTGGGGGTGTTTCTTTCAAGCTGAGTCACCCACTCACTGTTCACAGAACTCATGACACATATCCTGAACTCTTTGGACAAATTTAGTAGGTTAACCCAGAGTTGGGTCTAACCTGTGGAAGAACTCATTTCTCTGGTTGACATTTTGCTGTTGGTGGTGATGACTTCACTATGGAAGAGAATTCTAGATCAAGAAGCAGCCAGACTACCTAGTCCACTGGCCAGGGGGATGACTCATCCAGGGCTGTTTTCTCAGAGGTCCAGATAGCCTGCCATAGACTCTCTGTTGAGAACACAGGAAATTGGATCCAAAAGACAACTGACCTAGACATTTGCAAGGCAAAAATGTAAAGACCCAGGAATGCTGTACTTTGTCCAACACTTACTCAGAACCCTTACTTGTGGTAACTTACACTATTGGCCAGTTGCCTTTTGGGGGCCACCCTGGGTCATATAACCCAAAGGGAAAACTACAGTTATTCCGTAACTACCACTCGGTAAGAGCCACCAGAAAGGCGGAGTGTCCCATTCTTCAAAGTTAGAGGTGCCCTGGGCTGGTAAGGCAGGAGGCTAGGCAGTAGGGCCCTCAGGACCTATTGAGAGCCCACTCTGTAAGATTTAGGGTTGCTGGGACATGCTGGGCCCCTGTATCTCAGGTAGGCTCTATCACAAAAAGCCCACAGGGGCACCATGGCTGGGTAGCTCGCTAGTCTTCTTCTTCTTCTTCTTCTTCTTCTTCTTCTTCTTCTTCTTCTTCTTCTTCTTCTTCTTCTTCTTCTTCTTCTTTTTGAGGCAGGGTTTCTTTGTATTGTTTTGGAGGCTGTCCTGGAACTTGCTTTGTAGACCAGGATGGCCTCGAACTCACTGAGATCCGCCTGCCTCTGTCTCCCGAGTGCTGGGATTATAGGTGTGTGCCACCAACGCCTGGCGTGCTTGGTAGTCTTCTTAAGACAGGAAGTTGGGAGTCAAAAGCTCAGGTGTGGCCTCTGACAGTCCACACCTGACCTGTTCCTGGGTTGGAGGAGGAAGTGAGGACCAGCTGAAGCTGCTGGGGGGTTGGGGGCCGGGGAAACACAAGGACAAGATTACTGAGGCAGCAGCATAGCAGAGAACCACATAAGAACCCCGGAGCAGGTTTGCTTGAGATATTCAGCGCAACTGAGCCCGGTCCACGACAGCGTGGGAAGCGTGGGGTGTGGTCACGGCCAGAACTTCAACAAGGTGTTGCTGGGGACCAACATTGTAAGAAGGGATTACTGCAGGAAGACCAGTGCCAAAGTCAGTGTGGCGTCCAGTGACCAAACTCAGACACAGGGCCACCAAACATGGCTATGCCGTGTGTCTACACAACATGGGCAAGTATGGCTGCTTCCCCGGGAGTCAGCCCAAGGTCCAGCCCCTAGGAAGAAGCTGCCAACCTGCCAGGGCTGTGTGATTCTCCTGTGCCACCTCCCAGGCCAGGACTCAGAGGTCCAAGAAAGTGCCTCAGGCAAGATCAGGAGGGCTCTTGCCGCCAGCCTCTCCGCGCCCTCGCCTCCTCTGCGTTCTTCCTCACTGTTGCTGTCCCTGAACACAGAGCTGCCAGTCCCCGCCCTTCTGAAAGTGTCTCTGGGAGGGCTAGACCATTGATGCCTAGAGAAGGTGACAGCCGATGGTCAGTCCTTCCTCTCCTGTGGTACTGACCTCCTCCCGCACTCTGTAAATCAGACACCACCTTATCCTGAGGTGGCAGGCAGAAAGGAAACTGAGGCTCACACCCATGACTAGGCCTTAGGTCTCCTCCTCTGTAGCCGGGCCAGAACCCTATTCCAAGGCAGTGAAGAAAGCAAGCACTCGGGAGGCAAAGGCAGGCGGATCTCTGTGAGTTCCAGGCCAGCCTGGTCTACAGAGCAAGTGCCAGGACAGACTCCACAGCTACACAGAGAAACCCTGTCTTGAAAAACACAAAACAAGACAAAGAACCAAAACAACAAACAAACAACAACAAAAACAAACAAATAAAAAGAAATGTAGCAAGGTTGGTGGCCTGGCTGGTGGCAGCTTAGAAGAGGGAGGATTTGCTCTCAGTACTCCTGCTACCAGGCCTGACATCTCACCCGGCTTAGGAGAACCATCCCAAAATAAGACAAGGATAATGACACCAAGGTTCTTAAATCGATGAAACATGTCATCCCCTGAGACTTCTTTCCTGAGTGAATTCAGGAGTGAGAGAAGGCAAAAGCACCCTCCCTGCCCTCAAGGCAACTAAGGATTAATGGTAGGCTTCTGACCCCGAGCCCATAGCTCTTCCTATGTTTGTCCAGTTAACCCAGTGCCTTCACCCGGCTTGGCCCCCCCTCAGACCTGCTGATCAGGAAAGTGGCTCATCAGGCCATGCTGAGTGCTGTGTATACAGACACAGCTTCAGGCCATATAGAACCCTGCAGCCCCACTCCAAGCCCTCAGTCTGGGAGGAAGGGTGGAGACTGAGGCTGTCCTGTGGCCAACACCTGCATGTATCTACTGAATGCATGGTGTGTACATGACACCCTCGCCAGCTCTGCCCTCCAGGAGCATCCAATCTAGATGGGAGCCAGGAAGGGAGACATAGAAATCACCAGGGAGGTGCATTTCATTCAACATGTATACCATGGAAGTCCCGGGTTTGGCACTGTTGGGGCCCAGGACCCATTCTTGAGGAGCAAGGCTCAGTAAATAGGTAATTACACACAGGCTCGAGTCTACCCCCTTACAGAGAGCCCAGAAGGATTTTGAGTGAGGAGAGAGGGGATGGTGGAGGTGTCTCTTGAGACTCTGCCTCATGGCCAAAGGAGGGGTAGTACAGGTATTGGGATCCTGAGGCCAGGAGGCAAGGGCACCTCCTTGCCTGGTGCATGCAGGAACAGGTTTGGCAATAAGGAGACAGGTGTGTGCAGAGGGCACCAGCAGAGCTGCAGTATCTGAGGACTCTCCAGAGAAGATGCCCAGGAACTGCCATGCTGCCTGAGTGCCACACCGTACAGGCAGGCTGCATTAGCATTAGACACAGGGCCAGGAGGCCAGACTGAGGAGGGTGTTCTGGTCTCTGGACCAGCCCCTGGCCACTTCTATACCAGCTGGTGACCATACCCCCATGCCTGGAAACCTGTTACCTTTGGGGTCAGAATCTTCCAGAACAGTTAGTTGCTACGAAGGACCTCCAGGCTCGGTCAAAGTCACTCCCAAATGACTCCCAACCCTGTATCCCTGCGCATCCTTCCAGAAAGCGCCAATAGCGGACTCAACCTCCCTGGTCCTGGGCGGGCACGCAGAGGCCTCGCAGACGCGGTGTGGAGGCGGAGCCTGTGACTATGTAGATTCGGGTGTCCGTTCTTGGGGCCCTTTGGAAGCCCCTCCATCTTCCCACTTGGCACCCTGAGTGAGGCACTGGCCCTTTAAAGCAGATCAGGGTCTGACTTTGAGGGGAAAAAAATAACAGATTTCTGCCGTCTGCCTACACGCCTGGCCTTGGGAGGAGGGGGGGGGGTCACTCCAGCCCCCAACAGGGGCATTGCAAGGGCAGGTGGAGCCAGTAACATTGATTGCAGTAACCTGATCCCGCGGGGGAGGCGGCGACATCGCCGCGCGTCGGGCCGCCTAGGGAGGAAGCTGCCCGCATCTGAGGGCTGGGCCAGGAAGAGTTGGGGCTGGGGCCTGGGTCGGCAGCTGCGGCCTCCTCTCCAGCCCATCTATTTTTAATGAGCTCCTCAAGCTTTTGTAGCCGGCAGGATGCAGAAAGGCAGGCCCAGTTGGTGGAGGCCAGGAGCCCCAGCCCTGCCTTGAGCTCTGGCCCCCCCACCCTTCTGGGCATGAGAGGGCAGCCCTGGAGCCCCGCAGCCCCCTGGCCGGGCAGGGCTCTCCATGCAGCTGGTACTGAAGATGGATTCGAGCCCAGACAATGACAGCTGGTTGGAGGATCAGTGGGAGCGCTGGTAGGGTCCTGGGGGCTGACCTCAGGGTGGGGGAGGGGTGAGTCGGGAGGCGCTCCATTGAGCGAGCTTAGGGCCCCTGTTCAGACTGAGTGAGGTGGAAGACAGAGGTGTGAGCCTTCTAGGCTTCCCTGGGAGCTGCACTCAGTCCTTCGTTTCCTGGGTGACCTTGGATGAGCTTGTAGACCTCTGTTGTGTGCCTAATCTCCTGGTCTCTGGGGAAAGGCCCAGGCATTCTCCCCAGCTCCCCAGAAGTCCCACTTACACCAGGCCAGACAGAGTGCCAGGGTTAGGGTGTGCAGGGAGCAGGCAGTCACCACAGTGGCTATCGCAGCAGTACATTCCAAGGTCGTCACACAGGCTGGCCTAGGCTCCTGGAAGCCTGCAAGTGTCCTGGTACCCAAGTGCTCTTTGTGGTCTGTCACCAGCCCTAGCCTGGGCAACCCCATTTGCTCAGGGTCCTTACACCAGATGAGACGGTGGAGTTGAAGAGATGAGAGCAAGAATGTAACAGGAAGTCATAGTTTTTTAGAATAGGCTGGTCCCAGGCCCTCCCCACTATACCCTGGCTCAGTGGTGTGTGTTTTTGTGGGTGCCTTCTGGTACCCCTTTGGGTCTTGTTACTGTGGAGAGCAAAGGTTTCCCTGCTCTGGGTACCTCTTAGGGTTGAACTGGCCTTGGCACTTGCCTGGGCCATGGAGGCATTTCTCCAGCAGAGCTGAGTCTCTGGACAGTTGGGCCTTCTAGGACAGCCTTCTGGTTGGCAGCAGGATGGAAAACTCCCAGCCGGTGATGCTGGAGGAACCTAGAGCTGCCTCCTCCGCCACCCTAGGTGGAATGCCTTTTGGCTCCAACCCCAAATCCTTCTCCTGCCACTGGTATAAACAGACTGAATCCTCCATCTGGGAGCTGTCACCTGCCTTCCAGAGTCTTCCCTGGGAAGAGAGAGACGCCAGCTTGGGCCCCCTGGGTTGTAACTTGGTTTCTGTCCTCACCAGGCTCACCCACGACATCAGCCTGGAGGAGTTTGAGGATGAAGACCTCTCGGAGATCACTGATGAGTGTGGAATCAGCCTGCAATGCAAAGACACACTGTCTCTCCGGGTAAGGGCTGGGTCTGGGGAGTGAGTGGGGAGGGAGGATGAGGGCAAAGGTGAGGGCACCTCCACGTTTACAGAGGAGCTTTTGGGTGTGTGTGAATTAGCAATGCAGGAAGCATCTAGTGTCATCCTTGGCACATCGTGCGCGGGTGCTCAATCCAAAATCTTAACTTAATGCTTTGCATTGTTTTCTCAGTGCTAAAGCAGGAATCAGCTCCTTCAGCTGCTCGCAGAAAGAGAGAGCAGGAGGGCTTGAGATGTAGGACAGAGGCAGTGAGGCCAGAGCGAAGGGAAGGGCCACTCAGGAGCTTCTTGGCAGAGGGCCTGCAGCAGTACTGGGTGGAGTCTGGGCGAATCTGCAGTGCTTTGGGGCAGGAAAAGGGGGCCAGGGCACTGCTGGGCTAGCTCGTGGCGGCCGCCACCACTGTGCCACCCTGACCACACTACTAGCCTTTTGGGCTTTCAGTGGTGCCTACTGGGGTTGTTCTAGTACTGGTATTACTCTGAGCCCATTGGCTTTACCATAGTGACAGACTGTCTCCTGTCCTTATATCTGAGTGCCAGGGTACCCAGGATAGATAGGAACCCCCATTCTGTATTCAGAACCCAAACCAAAGACTTAACTTGCAGGATATGGAAGACAGCTGTACTAGGATAGGAGTCAGAGCCCAGCACTTTATCTAACCAGGTCGTCGAGTAGCTACATGTGATAGCTGTAATAAGAGCTAGGGAAGGGTATTTGTCTTAGTGTTGACCTCCTACTGGCCCTCGTACTTTCAGAAACTCCCAGGCAAAGGAAAGCAAGCCATGAGGATGCCTTTCCAGTCCCCATACCCAATCCTCTGCCTTCTGGCTAGGCCAGAAAGGATGGAGGCAGAGACCATTTCTTCTGGGCTTGGGGGTGGTCCCAGAGCTGGGTCATAACTTCTCTAAGGTCCCGTACCTGTTCTGGAGTTTGAAACTACTGTCTCCTACATGCAAAGCTTTCAAGAGGGTCTTTTGCAATTAGCCAGAACCACCTCCACCTCTCCCCTGGTAGTGCTAGACTAGGGAGAGCCCCCTGGTGGGAGCCTAGTCAAAGTCTCAGCGGCTTTCAGGCACACTTTGCGGTGTCTCCTCTCCGGTAACCTACAGGACTGCAGTATAGGCCCAGCCAGCTCTCGAGGGATGAAGAGTAAGGGGATCTGTCCAAGGTGGCAACATTGGAAGTAGCAAGTAGTTGGGGACTACAGAGACAGGGCTGGATGAGGAAAGTGTTCAGGTTAGAACGAGCTGGGAAAAGCTATCGCTCAGGGTCCCCTTCGGGTGTCCAGAGCAGTCTTTCTCACCTGGCTGACATGCACTTTTCCCAGTTTGCTACAAAGGCCCCTTCAAAAACCAGCTGTCTTACCCATCCCCGTTGGGGCCGGAATTCCTGGGCGACCCCCTAGGTCTCCATAGCAACAGCGGTGCTTTCACTCTGGGCTCGGCTTACCACCCGGGTGAGGTCACTGGCCGTTGCCAAGGGAACGGGAGGGTACAAGGAGTCCGGAGGGGGGACCGTGGGAGCGGAGAGGCGTGGGCGGTTCCTTCTGACCTGGGGAGCGGCCTCGCTGAGGGGCGGACGGGAGCGGCCCAGTGCTCGGGCCTCTGCTCGGCTCTCTGTCTACCTCCCCGTGCGTCCGCGGAATGGACTCGTCCGGTGGGGAGGCGGGGCACAGCGGCATCAGACCCGCCCCTCCCGCGAGACCCCGCCCCCGCTCACAAGGCCCCTCCCCTGATGCCCCTCCGTCCGCGCCGCGCAGCCCCCGCGCGCCGGGCTGCTGTCTGCGGGTGGCAGCAGCAACGCGGGGAGCCGGCTGCAGGCGGAGATGCTGCAGATGGACCTGATCGACGCGGCAGGAGACACTCCCGGAGCCGAGGACGACGAGGAGGAGGAGGACGACGAACTCGCTGCCCAACGGCCGGGAGTGGGGCCTCCCAAAGCCGAGTCGGGCCAGGAACCGGTGCCTCGCAGTCAAGGCCAGGGCACCGGCACGGGCAGCGGAGACACCTACCGGCCCAAGCGGCCTACCACGCTCAATCTCTTCCCGCAGGTGCCACGGTCTCAGGTGAGGCAGAGCTGAGGGGGCGGCGCCCTGTGTGGACAGGGAAGATGGAGGGGCGTGGGCCCTTCTGGTGGGGTCGAGAACCCTGGCACGGGTGTCTGGGAAGGGACAGGTTTTCTGCTGGTAGGGCCAGAAGAAGGGCTTGACGACGGGCAGGAAAGTCTGTTCTGGGAAGGGCTGAGTCCAGTTGGCTGGGCATGGAGCCTGGAAAGAGTCGAAAGGGTTGCCAGGGATTCGAGGGGGAGAGTCGCAGGGGACTAACAAAGGAGTTGGGTTCCTACAGTTGTGACAAGGTCCTCTTTGGGTTGGGGGCTTCTGTGAAGGTTGAGGCAGCAGCAGGGTCTGGAGAAAAGAACATCTGAAATGGGATGAAGATGGGAATGGGAATTCAGGGTCTGCAGCCAGCTGGACATCTCAGCAGCTGGACATTCCAGAAAGCCATAGAGATGGGGGATGGGATTGTTTGACTGAGTTGGGGGCCTAGGGCCCCTGGCAGGTGGCTGGATGCCAAAGAGAACTGCCTTGACCCATTGTCCTGTAGGCCTAGGCAGGAGAGGCCCTGGGAGAGAAGGGCAGGAGAGGCCCTGGGAGAAGGGCTGGGGCGGTGGAGCTGCTGCTGGATAGTTGAGAGGCTGCAGGGAAGAGGTTGGTCCCTTTCCCAGTATCCTCTGGCATGGTTTCTGGCAGCTCAACTCATGAATGTGTGTGTGTTGCTTATGGTGTTCCCTGGAAAGGGAGCCTAAGTTGTGTGTAGAGAGCCCTGTGCATGGGCACCGTGCAGGGGTCCCGGGGGCTAAAAATGTGGGATGCTTGAGCATTCTGGGAGATCCAGGAAGGAGGGCTGCTGATACTACATCTGCTGCTCCTTCGTCACGTGGGGTGAGGTGGGGGTGCTATGGAGTCATAGTTTGAATGGTTCATCCAGGCCCACGGGCCAGCTTCTGGGGAGACCCTTCCTTGTGCCAGGATGTCCCTACCACTTTGCTAGACCCCAGATTTCTGCGTCAGTCACCCTGTCCTTCACCACGCCTGGATTTGAGCATCAGAACATGTCTTCCCTGGTGTCTGGGCTGCTGTCTGACTCTCCTGGGGGCTGTGCGTCTCCTCCGCATCCACTGCTCAGCACCCACACTGGCCAGCACCACCACTGCGTCTCATGACGGCTGTCTCCAAGCCAGGAGGCCTGTGGGGAGGGTGGTAATTTCCCACCCTGCCTGCCTGCTAGAGGCAGGCTGGCAGAGAGGCCTTTGGCAGGCCAGATGGGGTGGGAACAGCCTAGGGATGGCCTGATGGGGGCAGGGGCAGGGCCTCCCTGTGCCGGGCACTGCTGACCGCTTCTTCATAAGAGCCTTTTGTTCTCTGCACAGGACACGTTGAATAATAATTCTTTAGGCAAGAAGCACAGTTGGCAGGACCGCGTGTCTCGATCATCCTCCCCTCTGAAGACAGGTAAGTGAGGCCTCTCCCGAGCTGGAGATCCAGTGTTCACCCGGCCCACCTGGGCTGAGGTCATCTGGGAGCCAGTAACTGGCGACAGAGCTGCTGATGGTGCACAGTGGGGCGGAAGAGGGGACAGGTCCATGGAGTAGGACCCGCTCTCAGTACCGACTTGCCTGTCCTCTAGGGGAGCAGACACCGCCACATGAACACATCTGCCTGAGTGATGAACTGCCACCCCAGAGCAGTCCTGTCCCCACCAAGGACCGCGGCACCTCCACTGACAGCCCTTGTCGCCGCAGCGCTGCCACTCAGATGGCGCCTCCAAGTGGCCCCCCTGCCACTGCACCTGGTGGCCGGGGCCACTCCCATCGAGACCGAATCCACTACCAGGCAGATGTGCGGCTCGAGGCGACGGAGGAGATCTACCTGACCCCAGTGCAGAGGCCCCCAGACCCTGCAGGGTCCACCTCTACCTTCTTGCCACCCACTGAGAGCCGGATGTCAGTTAGCTCTGATCCAGACCCTGCTGTTTACTCTGCAACTGCAGGGCGGCCACACCCCTCCATCAGTGAAGAGGATGAGGGCTTCGACTGTCTGTCATCCCCAGAGCGAGCTGAGCCACCAGGTGGAGGGTGGCGGGGAAGCCTCGGGGAGCCGCCGCCGCCTCCACGGGCGTCACTGAGCTCGGACACCAGCGCCCTGTCCTACGACTCGGTCAAGTACACGTTGGTGGTGGATGAGCATGCCCAGCTAGAGCTGGTGAGCCTACGGCCATGCTTCGGAGACTACAGTGACGAAAGCGACTCTGCCACTGTTTATGACAACTGTGCCTCTGCCTCCTCACCCTATGAGTCAGCCATTGGTGAGGAGTATGAGGAGGCCCCTCAGCCCCGGCCTCCCACCTGCCTCTCAGAGGACTCTACACCGGATGAGCCTGATGTCCACTTCTCTAAGAAGTTTCTGAACGTCTTCATGAGTGGCCGCTCTCGCTCCTCCAGTGAGTCAGTGAGCAGGGAATGGTGGGGGAGCCTGGCCGGGACAGCTGAGATGGAATGGGGTCTCAGATACCACGTAGTCTGTCTGAGAGCAGGACAGAGCTTTCTGGTTGCCCTGAGCTCAGGTCACCTCCTCCAGCCTGTTGACTTCCCACAGGTGCTGAGTCCTTCGGGCTGTTCTCCTGTGTCATCAATGGGGAGGAACATGAGCAGACCCATCGGGCTATATTCAGGTGAGGGCTGCCCCTTGCTTGCTCTACTGACCCACCGCTGGCAACCCTCAGCTGCTGGGGGACAGTATCCCCTGTAGGAACTCAGCTTAGTGACAAAATGCTCAGGAGTCATGAGGAAGCTAGGACTATGCACTTAACCTGGCTAGGGGCCGAGAGATGCCTGCCCTGCATAGAACCTGCACCCCTCCTCGCCTCCTCCAGGTGAAGTGCTCACTTTCTGTGGCCTTTCAGTTATCAAGGCCTAGGCTTCCTTCCTCCCTAACCCCTGAAATCTTGGGTAGCAGATGCATATCTCAGTGTCGCGTGTCCCTTAGGAGGTAGCATTGCACATGGGTATTTTGCAAATGTCAATGGCTAATGAACCCTGAAGATCAGTACCTCACATGCCCTTGGGGGTAGGTTTGTGCCTCGACATGAAGACGAACTTGAGCTAGAAGTGGATGACCCTCTACTGGTGGAGCTGCAGGCAGAAGATTATTGGTACGAGGCCTATAACATGCGCACCGGAGCCCGAGGTGTCTTTCCTGCCTACTATGCCATTGAGGTCACCAAGGAGCCTGAGCACATGGCAGGTAGTACTTCCCTCTAGTTTGGTCCCACCCACCCCTGCATCTACCCACCTGCCTTGCTGCCGGTGTACATGTACCTCGGGTCTTAGACAGCCAGGGAAGAGAGCAGAGGTAATTTCAGTTGCTACAGTTAGTATGTGAGGCCCAGCCAAGTCGGGGCATGTGGGGACGGGAGCACCCTCTACTGCCTGAGTCCCTCAGCATGCTGCACTCTCCCTACTTGGCTCGGTTCTGAGCCCCCTCCTGATGGCCCTCTTGCTCCTTATGGTATGGTTGCTTTCCAGCCCTCGCCAAAAACAGCGACTGGATTGACCAGTTCCGGGTGAAGTTCCTGGGTTCCGTCCAGGTTCCTTATCACAAGGGCAACGATGTCCTCTGTGCTGCTATGCAAAAGGTACCCAAATCTGACTCTGCTTTTTCCTGGGCTGCCTGTCCTCAGCCAACCCACACCATTAGGGAAAAGGACACAGGGATCTGGAGGCAGTGTCGTGACCTGAGGGATCCATAGAGGAACACAGCTTCCAACATGGCTCTGTCCCTCATGCAGATTGCCACCACCCGACGGCTCACGGTGCACTTTAACCCACCCTCCAGCTGTGTCCTTGAGATCAGCGTTAGAGGTGTCAAGATAGGTGTCAAAGCTGATGACGCTCAGGAGGCCAAGGTGACTTCCTTCAGCCGCAGCCTTCTAGCCCTGTGTCCCCTCCCCCTTTATTTCTTGCCTGCCTGGGCCCCTCCTCTCCCTGTGTCTACCCTATCCATTCGCCCCTCCTGCCCGCTTCTGCCTCCAGGCTGACTGTCTTGCTTCTCTCGTCCCTCCTGCAGGGAAATAAATGTAGCCACTTCTTCCAGCTAAAAAACATCTCTTTCTGTGGATACCATCCAAAGAACAACAAGTAAGTAGAGGCAGACATAGGAGGCCCGGTGGTAGTCTTGGGGAAGAAGTTTGTCTCACAGATGCCTGCCTTCCCATAGGTACTTTGGGTTCATCACCAAGCACCCTGCTGACCACCGGTTTGCCTGCCATGTCTTTGTGTCTGAAGACTCCACCAAAGCCCTGGCAGAGTCTGTGGGGTAAGTGTGTGGGTTGATAAGGGTCTGCCCGGGGAATATACCGTCACAAGCCCTGGAGCGTCTTCATGCCCAGTGTCAGAGTCACCCTTGCCCTCCTAGAAACCCCACTTCTGGAAGAGGCTGGGAGGTACTAAGGAGCCAGGGTCTGCCACTTCCTGGTTAATTAGCTACTGGCCCTTTCTCAACTGCTCCTTTCTTCTTTGGGAAATAACTGCCCAGAGAACAGAGCTAAGCTGTCTGGGAGTCCCGAAGAACCTTTTGAAGAACCTGAGCTCCTGGTCACCCCAGTGTTTCCCATTTTCCAGGCGTGCATTTCAGCAGTTCTACAAGCAGTTCGTGGAGTACACCTGTCCTACAGAAGACATCTACCTGGAGTAGCAGTGCCGCCACTCTGCAGCCCCTCTGCCCCAGGCCAGTACGAGGACAGCTGGCCGTGGACAGGATGTGGCACTGCCACAAGAGAATGGGGAACTGGGGCTGCTTGGGGGGCCGGGGTGTGGGGAGAAGCAGATGCAGTTTATTGTAATATATGGGGTTAGATTCATCTATGGAGGACAGTACAGGCTCTCTGGGGACTGGGGAAGGGTGAGGCTGGGGGGGGGGTGTGTGTGTGCTCTGACCACAAAGGGATCCCCTAGGAACAGAGGCACTGCCCCGTCCTGGGCCCTGGCTTTTCTGGCTCTTGGCTCCTGCCTTGACAAAGCCCAATGCACCTGGAAGTGCCCACCATCCCCTTCCGCCTCACCTAGAGCCCTGAGCTCAGGCCGAGCCCAACCAGCTCCTGAGGACTTTACAGTAAGGAAATGGCAACAGGTGACAGTGAAGACATCTGTGGGGCCTCAGACCCTGGCAGGCTTGCATGTGCTAGGGGAGAGGGCTACAGCAAGCCCTGCCTGGCGGGGAAAGGAGGCCTCTCAGCCGCTCCCAGCCATCCCTGTCACTGTCTTGTCACCTGGCTACTACTATTAAAGTGCCATTTCCTGTCTGGACCACAGTGGGTGTATTTACTTGGACCCCTGCTGGGCTGCCTTTTTCTTTTTAACACACAGGCTAGAGAACTAAGCATTTGCTGCCCAGAATAGCTTTATGCAGGTTCCCATCACACATTCACATCATAGTAATAGTCAGCCATGTTGGGCCCGTCCCGCTTGCGCTGCTGGGCCTGAGAGAGAAGGGGTCGGGGCCCTCGTGGCCACGGGTGCTTGGGTCTGACCCCATAGTCTAAAGAGAGAAGAGGATAAGGGTGGAGGGAACCGGGTTGCAGCCAACTCTGAAGAGGCAGTCTGGGAGTAGGAGACACAGGGCTTGGCCCTAGGGGACCTCTAGGGGCACCTGCTGTGGAGGGCGGGGGAGGGGAGGGAAACACTACCATCCACCAGGCCTGAGAGCGGCTGTGAGAGTTCCAGTGGGGCCGAAAATTCCTCAGGAACAGATCGCTGAGACCTATGGGAAATGTTGCTGGGCTGAGCCCTGACCCCGAAGGCCACTCTCCTTTGAGGGATAGCCCAGGGTGAAGACTTGATAAACTAACCCTTCCCAGGATAATGGTCAGCCTCTTCCAGAGTCTTCTAGGCCCTGAGGGTCTGGCCTTACCTCTGGGGCTGAGGTCGAAGGAGTGCGCCTGCCAGGATGAGGTAAAAAAGGAAGAGACTGAGCCCAGCCCTGGGGTACAGAGCCCCCAGCATGGCGAGAACCATTTCCTACACAGTCCCTACTGTGGTTTCTGCCTGCCCCTCCCCCAGCAGGACAGAACCTTGTGCCAATTCTCAGGGCCACCTCACAAAGGGCGTTAGTTCCAGGGCTCAGCATCAGCACCAGCACTGCCTCCCTCTGCATCCTGGAGTAGACTTTATAGCCTTGGTAGTCCTGGGACTCACTTTGTACACCAGGTTGGCCTTGAACTCAAAGATCCACCTGCCTCCCAAGTGTGGGGTCAAAGGTGTGTGCCCCACCACCAGCCCTGGAGGAGATTCTTGTCCCACACAACTGGTATTGTGTCCCGTCCAGGATACTTCCCTTCCTCAATTCTAGTGACCTGGAGTTCCACATGCTATCCACTCCAAAGCCCCATCTATCTGTCACTCTTGACTGCTGGACACCACATTATTCCTCCCTACCCACAGTCCCCGTGGTCTGCTGTGGTCCTCAGCCCCTACCCCACGGCCTTGGGCCTCTCCCATGTCACAGCTGGTGTCACCCACTCTCATCGCTGCCCACAAGTGTGTGGTGCACCACCAGACCTTTCCCTGGCCTCACGCCATCGACTCCTTAACCCTCACAGCACTGTTCTTCAGGGTTGTGCTCCATCCACGAAGACGCTGCACAGTGCTTTCTGCACACAGTGCTCTCTGCACACAGTGCTCTCCGCACACAGTGCTCTCCGCACACAGTGCTCTCTGCACACAGCCTTCCCTGCCCTGGCTGCTGTCAGGAAACTAATACCATGGGTGAGGAGTATGGCTTGGAGGTTAGTCTCTATCCAGCTCCAAAATGACAAAACTGCTACAGTTTTGAGTTTCACTGCACTGGAAGGCTTTGCTCTCCTTTGCCACCACTGCAGAAAGTGCTTATCACTGTGTGACAACACCACCTCTATCTTCAAGATCCCAGCATAGTACACACCCAGGAGTCAGGAACTGCAAGGCAGGGAACCATGTGTTGCATGGCACCAAAGCCTGCTACAGTGTGAGCACTCAGGATGCTTGTGAGGCTGAGCAGAACCAACAAACTGACAGGCTGCCCTTTCCACTGCCCCTGCTCAGAATCACAGGGCAGCATGTCAGGTTGAGCTGGGGCTACAATAGAGTGTTGGAGGAGGCGAGGCCTGAAGGACAGATGCAGACAGCGCTCTCCAAAGTCAAGGGCACCACTCCTGAGAATAGTGCAGGAACAAGTTAGGTGTGACAGCTTACCCCTATAGCCCACACTGAGAGACTGCCATGAGTCTGAGGTCAGTGAGACTTGTCTAGAAGACAGAGAGGGAAGGGCAAAGGAAGAGAGGGGAGGACACACACCCAGGACAGTCAAGTTCAGGCCCACACAGCCCTGCCAGGCCTCTTCTGTCTTCTCCACAGTGACTACAGGGCTCCAGCAATCTAATCCGCCTGAGCCAGAGTCAGTCTGCTGGGAGACTGTCATAGAGGGGGAACTGCAGCCTGTGCGGGCGCGTGCGCGCACGTGCACACACTCACGCACTCACACACATGCACACACGTGTACGCACACACGCACGCGCACACATGCACACACACACACCCATGCGCGAGCACACACATGTACACTGCCCACTTTCTTATAGCCCCAGGTTTACACTCTATCCTGTCCCAGCCCTTGCAGACCTGACTTCTGCCGTGGAGAAGAGCATCTCTTGGGGCATGGCTGGGCCTGCTGTTTAGCCCTGTAGGGAGAAGGGGAAATAGAGGCCCTGGCGGGAAAGCATAGTGGACCATGGTCATCCATGGCTTAGTTCCGCCTGTCTTCATCATGGAGCAGTGAGAAAGTATCTAGTTGCACAGTTGAGGTCAACGGTGACCCATGCTGAAGGAGGATGAGTCAGTCAGCTGTGCCGAGATGAAGGTGCCCCCTGGACCTGAAGAAACAGAACTTCCAGAGGAGGTGCTGGCTGGCAGACACAGAGCCACGTGCTGGATACTACCAGTCAGTTTTATTAGAGAAGAGGGGCCTGGGGGACTGGAGGGCCGAGGCAAGCCCCACCCAGAGCAACAGAGCACACCACATAACCCACTCCTGCATGTCTGTCAACCCCAACTGTAGAAATATACTTTCTGCCAGGAGGGCAGGTAGTCCATGAGCGGCCCTGCAATGAGAGGGAAGGAGGAGTCAGGGCCGAGCCAGGCCTCTGGCACTGCCCCACGCCCTTTTCTGACACCGCCACCATACAGTGGCTCACCTGCTGTGTCTCCTGCCTCTGCAGCTATGCTGGAGATGCAATTTACAGACAAGGACCCCCAGGATCGGGGGAGCCAAGTAGCATGACCGGCCTTTACAGTCAGGTACCCAGACAGGCCCAAGGTCCTTCCTTGCTTACCAGATGAGACTGCTCCTATTATTCAGGCCACAGAGGTAGGAGGGCTTGCCAACCTAAAACCGCCTAATTATCCTACACACAGACACTTCCAGCCACCTCCCGACCTCCATGGGTTGACAACTTAGGCCCTGGAGCTGTCACTTCCCAATTCTGTTAGGGGTCACTCTTGATTGCCCAATGATCAAACCATAAGGAGAGCAAACAGTAAGACGGGGCCATTTGTGCCCAGCGACATTACACAACCACGCTGCCCACCACACTTACTTGCCACTAGGCCAGCGCCAGGGATATGGTCTGCAAGGAGCTGGAGCAGGAAGAGGATCTTGGCCCTGAACAGGGAAGAGAAAGTGTGGTGGGGGTGGGGATGGGTCCCTGCATATCAGGAGCTAAAGGCCTTGACCTAGCACCAAGCATTTCAGAAAACAAGGGGCTAGGACAGAGCCTAAGACAAGGCCAGACCACTGGCCTGCACCAGTCTATAGCTGCACAGGGTCACAGCTCACCCACAGCTGCACAGGGTCACAGCTTACCACACTCCCCTCCCCGCTTTTCTACCTTCCAACCATTGGCATTCAGCAACTGCTTCCTGAAAGTCACTTTCAGCAAGGCCTGTTCCCTGGAGGTGTCTGATAGAAGAGCTGGCTGACCTCACAGAGATCTCACAAGCCAGTGCTCAGAGCAGCTGGCCTGGGGCAGGGCAGTGCTAAGAAAGCTGTCCTCTGGATCAAAGAGAGGCTTGTTTAACATACGGGACTTTCCACAGGCGAACTTGGGGTGGGCCATAATGATGTTGGGAACAATAAAAGAACATGTATGAGACCGAAGTATGGTTCAGGGGTAGAACACTTGCTTAGCATGTTTGAGGCCTTAGGTTTGATAGCAGCGCTAATATTAAAACAAAAACCAAAAAACAAACATCACATGTTCATTACATGCCAAGCACTGCCAAACACATTCAGTTAATGACCCCTATAGCAGCCTACCAGATGGGTGACATCACCATCCCCACTTTATAGGTGAGGAATTGACCCCCGAGGTCTTAGAGCCCAGCTCCTGCTCAGACACTCCACCACAGATCAGAGGTACCCTGGCAGGGACTCTGATCCCTCATAGGTAATGAGTGTGGGATGGGCCTCTGCTGCGTTGCCCAAGCCTCTGAAGTGCAGATACCCTGTGGTGAAAAGAGCTAGAGCTAGATGCATCCACTGTGGCCTTGCAGAGCTCTTACCCTACCCTCAATGGTCTCTCTTGCCAACAAGCACACAAGTTCACACAGCTCCAGAACCAGAAGTACTCCGCTGACCCAACCCTCCCCATGCAGCATGGACAACCCTTTTGATGCGAGGATGTCCTTACTCAGAGAAGCGGTCATAGAATGGTGAGCGCAGCAGGTAGTACAGCAGCAGGATTGTGCGGCGCCTCAGCTCTAGCCGCTCCCTTCGGGTCAGACTCTTTCTGTCACTCAGGAGACTCAGACTGTGGGGAAGGGACATAGGAACAAGGATGATCTGTGTCCCTGGGAGAGAAAGAACCACAGACCGGGATAGCCGAATGGCAGGCAGGAAGCCCCTGGGAGGAATGGAATCCTTCGCCCATGCGCACCTCGTCACGTCCACCACACCAGAGAGCAGCCAGGGTGTCCACGACCGTTGACCCCAGAAGCCCAGACTGAGCACTGACGGTCAAGCTGTCAAGGATGTCTCTAGTGTAGGGTCCAGCTCGGCTCCTCCCCAGCCCACCTCCAGCACAGCTAAGGATACAGTGCAGCAGGGGCCGGGCAATATGCAAAGACTCTGCAATGGTCTCCTGCAAACCCAGAGGTGTTGGTGGTGTGCTCAGCTCCTCCTGCTGCTGTTTCTGCTGAGCGTCCCGTTGCTGGGGGGCTCCCCAGTGCCGTGAGTGCAGGGATGGGCCTAGAACATAAGGACAAACAAGTGAGCCAGGGGCTGAAGTGGGTGCTGACAGAAGCCAAACCCTCAGGCTCACACTGACTCAGCACCTAGGTGCCTAGTGCAGTTTTATCTTCCACTTACTGTTCTGGAGGGTTCGCACCACTCTGTTTGACCTCTTTCCCACATATGACGGCTCCTGGCTGCCTGGGTTGTGGTCACCATCTGGCAGGTATAGACAGGACATAATATGAGGGACACACTCCTATCAGAGCCTGCAGAGAACATGTGTGCAGCGAATGCATGAGGAGCTACTGGGAGAACGCAAGAGCCTGTCCTGAGGCCGCAGCTGAGCAAAGGTAATTGCACCCAGGGTGCACAATTTCTTGTTGTGGTTCAACAAGAAATCTTTTCACAGAGGGAAGCATTCTGGAACCTTCCCTGGCCTGGGGAAAGGCCATCATTACCCATAGTCACAGCCAAACAAGAACCTAGGCTTCCAAGATAATGGAGGAAGAAAGGGAAGGCCCAGTTCAACCACAACTATTGGGACTAGAGGACCATGAAGCCATATTCTCTCAATCCTTTGCTCTTAGCACATTCATGTGGGAAGCACATAATTGTCCTCACTCAAGATGAGGGAAGAGACAAGGCTTAGGGAGGGGCCAAAGCAGCCAGGTACCCTGCCTCTTGAGGCTATGGTTCATAATACAGAACCAGGCCCAGAGACAATGTTTGCAGGACACCTACTTTATACTGATGTCTCTGTCCCTAGTTCCTGCAGCCCACAAGACACAAGGAGGACTCTGACACCACAAGTTCCAAGTTCAGGGATGGGAGTGTACCTCAGTGGTAGAGCACTTACCCAGCATGCACAAGGCCCTGGATTTGATCTCCAGGATAGAAATAAAACAACAAAAAACAAAAACCTCCCAAGTTTAAGTTCTGATTTTTTCCAAATCTTGTCCTTCTTATAGAATAATGGGTGCTGTGCTGATGGGAAATGTTCTCCAAATCCACAGATCAGTCCCGTGTCCCATTCCACTTCAGGGCCGAGAAGCAGCTTACCCAAGGGCTGTGCCTGGGTCTCCCTGTCCAGTGGAACAATGGGGGGTGAGGTCTGAATGCCAGTCTTGAACCAGATCAGCAGGAGCATGCGCAGGACAGCCCTGAGTTGGGAAGCAGGGGAGTCAGGGAAGGCGGTTAAAAAGCAGGTAACAAGGCTGCTCTGCTGAGCCCTCAGAGCTGGCCTGGGCCCCCCACCTGCATCCTGCCCTCCGCAACCCAACCTACTTGGCCAGCTGGATGAGAGCAATGACGAGCCAACGGCCTACTTCACCCCACACCTTGGCAGCCCCCATCTCCATGAACACCTCCACACACTCCAGCACGCTCAGCCATGTCAGCAGCTTCTGCTGGGACAGCGACTGCAAGAAGCCCAGAGGTCAGGGAGCTTCTCTAGCTCCAAGTGCTGTCCTAGAGAAAGAGGGCCTCTCTGCAGGTGGGACTCCTCTCCGAGCCTGAGTTCAAACACCAACACCACTGCTAACAGGCTGGCTGGCCTTCCTGTCTCCCTACCACTTCATGCACAGGACACGACGACAACTAATAATTGGTCCGAGGCCCTTAAAGGCATGTCTCATGCTCTGAGACCGAAACATGTGCCACATGTGCTGGTCATTGCTGTTCTGTTCCCAAGTCCCTGAGCTCCCCACGCTCGGCTCCCGGCAGAATTCTCACCACAGGCAACTTTTTCCGAAGCTCCTTCCGAAGGATTCCGTCATTGAGCAGCACAAGCAGGTTAGAGGCAGAGTACACTGAGAAGCAGAGCACGGGCTCGTGAGGCTGGCTCTGACGTGGCCTCCACCCTCCGTCCCCCGAAGCTCTACACGACACCAGTCACAAGCTGTGCTCAGCTGCCCACAGACTGTGTGGAAACCAACACGCCTCCTCTCACTTCCTGAGAGCCCCATTCTCCTGAAGATGACATCTGAACCAATAACAAATGATGACACTGACAGCCTAGCCCTTGCTCTGCTGAGCAGTGCTGGCCACTGAGCTACTCAGAACTGCCTGTCATGCCCCCAACAGCCAAGTGTGTGTGGCTCCACCCCCTCCCCTCTGCCGTCTCTGCAGACTGTCCCCCTGAAGGTCGGCATCACAGCTGCCTTTCATGACCGCCACTTGCCCCACTGACTAAGTAAACACGGCCGAGGCACTTGTAGCATGGGTCCTGAGGTTCTGACATCAAGGACTGGTCCTCAGCCTCGCTGACCATTTATTCCTGCAGTTAGGACAACGGTGCCCTCCCCATACTCATAGGACTGATGAACTAGCAAGGGCAGGCAAGTTGCTTAACCCTGAGCCAAACCAGGCAGCCACACAGGTCCTCACAGTCTCCCGACTCGGGGACACCAAGGGTCCTGGGCCGTGGACAGCTGAACTTGTCTGACTGAGTCGTGGAACATGGGTCCAAAGGGCAGCCCAGGCCCCGGAGCCAGGGTGATCATGTCCTCTGGAAGCCTTCCGCCTCCCCAGAGCCCCCTCCGCAGTCCAGAGCCCAACTCACCCAACTCAGACAGCTCGTGAGAATCGGAGAAGCGACCTGGGGAAGAAGGTACAAGCGGCGCTGGTGAGCCTCTCCCACTGCAGCCTTGGGTCCCCCTAACTCAAACACAGGGACCACTACCCTGAGTCTGCAGGGCGAGGGCCATAGGACTCATGGGTCAGGGTCCCGAAGAAATGGGTCAAAGGTCAGTGTGGCACCTGCCAGCAGGTAACTGAGGCCCCGCACTGCTGTCTCCAGCTGGGCCGTGGCGGCTGGGTGACGAGTCACGTACTCCTGGTAGCGGAGGCCCAAGAGCCGCAGCTTCTCCATCCTGCTCAGGCCACCGACAGTCCTCACTGGCCGACAGCACGGCTGGCGCGGCACCCTGCGTCCTGCGCCCTCCTTCCTGCTTCCGGCCCTAAGCCCGCCTCCCACTTGCTCAACTTCCGCAGCCCCGGTCTCGCTAAACGCTCCAAGCCCCCAAGGTCCCTTCACCCCATCTCTAGCACCTCCTCCCAGAGACCGTGAGCTCCCTCCCTCCTTCCAACCATTGGCTCCCCCACTCTCCGCCCTGACTCTCCTAGGACCTCAGGCGTCCGATCTTCAGCCATCTGGGTTGGCTGTCTTGGCGCCTGCGCAGTTGCAACTTAGCGGCAGGCTAATCAGTTCACTCTAGAGAAGGGAACACAAAGTCTCAGGCTTTCCCAGCAGATCGCCGAGAGGCTCGAGCGGGAGAGCCGCACAGCACAGGGTTTGGGATTTAAGGCGCTCGGAACCTCGAACGTTTCGCAAATGGGCTTAGTAACCCCCAGTTTCCAGTTCCCCACAAAAGCCAGTACCAGGGAAACGGAGGCAAACCTAGCTAGCACATCTTGTGCCGTGGCTTCGGTTCCAGATCCTTCAGGGCATGTGGACCCCCAAAATCCGTACCCGGATGACTGCTTCGGCGAATACCCTACCTACCCTTCTGCTCTCCACTTAGGGATGAACCTGCACATAAGTTTCTCTTATCTGCACCTCAGGTTACCCCATTTACAAAATTGTTTGGGGCCGACTTGGACCTTGTACTCCGAACGAATGTCAGCATTTTCTGGCCCTTGGATGTACCTCCTGGCTCTCAGCTAAGACCCAAAAGCTGGGGATCCACTGCTGAACGAAGCAAAAAAGCAGCTAAAGTCACAACTCCATAGACGTGGAACCGCGCAGCTGATTGGCTGTGGGAAGAGGGGCGTGGCAACTCTGCGCCATTGCGGACTCCGCCCGCGAATTTATGGTATCTGTTGAATTGTAATACGTTTGTTTAATACTCTACCAGATATTATCTTCAGACAAGGACAGGATATGCCTAATAACGCCCGTCCAGTGTATCACACGCATGTACGAAAATGTCATCAGGAAGCCCATTGTTTTGGTTTGTTTGTTTTGAAACAGAGTCTCACTATGGCTGGCCTCAAATTCAGAGATCTTTCTACTTCTACTTCCTAAGTGCTGGAATTGAAGGCGTTAATCATCACGACAGGCAAAGCGCAATTGTTTTGTACAATCAATAAACACTAATAAAATGTTCATAAAGGAGGTAGAGAGATGGCTTGGGGTTAAGAAATGCACATTTAAGAATCTTAAAAAGTTGGGTGTGGCTGGGCGTTGGTGGTGCACGCCTTCACTCCCAACACTCGGGAGGCAGAGGCAGGCAGACCTCTGTGAGTTCGAGGCCAGCTTGGTCTACAGAGCGAGTTCCGGGACATTCTCCAAAGCAATACAGAGAAACTCTGTGTTGAAAAACAACAAAACAAAACAAAACAAAAAGTTGGGTGTGATACTAGAGAGATAGCCTGGAGTAAAAGAGCACTTGTTGCTCTTGCCGAGGATCTAGGTTTGGTCCCCAGCAACCACATGAGTGGCTCACAACCATCTATAATTCCAGTTTTAGAGGATGTGATGACTTCTTATGATCTCTGCAGACACCAGGCAGGCACACATGTGCACATACAGAAAGACATGCAGGTCAACCTCATATGCATGAAATGAAATCAAACCTAAAATAAAAAACCGAGCATGGTGGCACATCCCTGTAAGTAATTCCAGCATTCGTGAAGCACGCTCAAGAGGATCACTGCAAGTGCAAAGCCAGCCTCGCCCATGTAATGAGTTCCAGGTTAGCTTTAGCTAGAGTAAGACTGCTTTTTGCTTTTGTTGTTTGTTTTTAAATTTTTTAAAGACTTTGTTTTAAAAGTTAAATTCAAATTATTTTTTAAATTGCCTACCATGTCTAGTCATGGTTAGAATGTTGATTTGTCTGAGCCAGAACCAGGGCATTTTAAATACCACACTCACCAGGAACCACAACACGCTTCCTTCCCTTTCTTTGTCTGTGTGGAGCCGAGATCCTATTGTTGTCAACCACACTCATGCCAATGCCTGCAAACAAGGATTCAGGGAAAGGTGCTCTGAACCTCAGAAGAGTCTGTGGTTTGGGGACCATAGAAGTTGTCCCTCACCCTGTCCTGAGTGCCCCACATACTCCTCACCCTGTTGGCAATTGTATTTGTTCAATCTTCATTGTCAACCTGGTGGGGGTTTAGAACCACTGTAGAAACATACCTCTGTGTGTGTTCATGGGTGAGTCTCCAGAAACACGGAGCTGAGAAGACTCAGCCTAGGTGTGGGTATTCCATGGGTTAGAGTCCTGAGCTGAATAAAAGAGAAAGCAGCTGCAAACCAAGAAGCTACCTCAGACTTCTGCAGCCACAGCTGCCCCACCATGGTGGATTATACTCTCAAACTGTGAACCAAAATGAAACACCCCTTACACAGTCATGAGAAAAGTAACTACCACATCAGCCTCATCAGATTGGTGGGAACTCTTGTCCACAGATAGCACAGCAAGGCCCTGATCAAAAGGCCTTTGGCAGCCAGCATTCTCTAGGCCAGCATGAGCCATGGCGTGATGAGGCAGGCTTGGCTAAGATCTAGGCTCAGGAATTCAATGACTTTACTGCCTTTTGGGCCATCCCTCCAGGCCTCTGCTGCAGCTGGACTGAGGGTGTGTGTGTTTGTACTTGTGTGTACCTACATGAGGGCAAGTACATGTGTGCAAGACTCCATCAGATGTTTTTTTTTTTTTTTTTTTTTTTGTTCTGGGGAGGAAGGAGAGGCCTGGAGGACAGAGGGATGTACCACCTCCCCTCCACATCCAGACAGTGACGGGCCCTTCTATGCAGTTAGGACACTGGGTCCAGTCAGGCTGGCAGCAGCAGGGCTTCCTGAATTCCTCTCTAGATCCAAAGCCTGCTTAGGCTTGGAAACAAAGAGCAGAGGTGTGTGCAGGCTTTGGCAGGCTGGAAGAAAGCCCCTCCCTGCTGGATTCCTGCCTGGACCTGGCGGCAAGGCTGAGTTGCAAATGCCTCTGGATAAATTGGGCTAGATCCTCTCTCCTTCAATCTGTCCCGAGTCACAGGGGAAGAAAGACCAGTTGGGCAGGCACAGATGAGGACACCGGAGACTTTGGGAGGGTGCTGGATAGGTCCAAGGTCACAAAGTAAGGGCAGAGCTAGCTCGAATGGGGTCTCAGCTCCAGGACTAGACTCACATCTTCCTTTCCTCTGAAGATTCCAGAAGGGCTTCTTGAGGGTCCAGCAGATACTTCTGTCCTTCTGTTCATTTCCCTGCCTACAGTGCTGAAGCTGAAACAGGATCACCATGATGAGTGACCACAGTGGGATCTCCACTAACTCACATCACTTTATGGAAGACTTAGCTTGGTCTAGGCTCTGCCTGTGACCCTATCTGCTCCTTCACATTGTCACCTCCCACAGCCATCTCTGTTGAGGGCCACGGGGAGGGCGCCTTCCACTCCTCACCACCATGTACACCAACTTCACTAGAGCTGAGGATGAAGCCCTGGGAATCAAAGCCTGGACACTACGGGTTTCTCTTAATTCCTCGGTGTACAAGAGGCAGCTCTTGGTTTCCATAGCAACCTCCAAAGGCCCAGAGGCTGATCGGCCATCTCCCAAAGAAAGGCATTCTGATCCCTCAGGGGAGGAGCCAGCCCCAGGCTGCTGTTTATGGGTTTGCCTCGATTTTTTGTACAGCTGGACCTTGGGCCGAAGATCCAGTCTGAGCTCTTGGTGAGGGCTAGTACGGTCCTTGGAGGGCAGGTCCAGTTTCCATTCAAACTGAACACTTGGAACTGGGGGTGGGGGCGACCCGAAGAACAAACAGGCAACTTCAGCTTCCCTTGAACTGGGATGATGAGCAAGAGATCTACATTCCCAGGGAAGGAAGGGCAGGGGCAGGTCCTGAGTTGGAAGACCCCTAGGGGAGACTGAGCAGGAGGGGTGGAGGGCTGCCTGCACAGCAAATGGCCAAAGGGCACAGGTTCCATTCGCTCTTCAGGGACGATCGGGGTGAAGCGAAGGCTTGGTAAACACTTAGCTCAGGGGCTGGCACTCAGTAGTGCCCAACCGACCATGGCCAGTCTCCTTCACAGCTCAAAGCTTGCTGCACCCCTACAGGGCCAGAGGAGTGCCTGAGGCCTGCTGAGGGGTGGAGGAGGGGAGAGGGAGGAAGGGATCCAGGCCTTGGAGCCGACACAATCAAGGCACTCTAGACAAGGACTGGGGAATCCACGGCCCTGCCTAGGCGGCAATGGGGCTTTCTGCCAGCCCTTGTGCAGGCGGGGAGTTGGCCTTCAAAGGGGTGCGGTGCCGGTGTCTTCCAGTCCGCTGCTGGGCCGGGCTGGGCCACCTGGACTAAGGACCAGGGAGGACGCGCAGGTTACAGGTGTCCCGAGGGGCCCAACCTCCAGTCCCCGACCTGAGCAGGTGTCTCTAGTCTCTGGATGGAACATTCCTATCCCATCCCCCGCCCCTGGACTCTTGCGGTGCCCGAGCCAATCCTTTGATCCTGAGCTCCGGGTCACAAGTCCCTCCCCTTAGGGGGAGGAATGGGGTCCCCGAGCCAGGAGGCTGTAGGTAGCGGACACAGGGCCATCCTGGATAGCTGTCCCTGAGGCCTTCAGCCCTCCGGTGCCTTGGTGCAAAACCAACCGAAAGGGGGTTGTAGGTTCCCGGCCTGTTTCGGAGCTGTCCTGTGCGGGGCGAGGGCGGGGCCCTGTTAGGGGTCTCCCCGCCCCTTCCAGCCCAGACAAGCAAAGGTGAAACCTGAGCCCAGGTTGGGGGCGGGGCTGGCTTGCGGCTCTGCCCGGGTCCCCGCTACCGGGCAGTCGCAGCAGGAATTGGGCCTTCTTGAGCCACTGGAGCAGGTGAGGCAGGCTACTGTGCCCGGGCAGGGAGAGCAGCCGTCGGGCCCGGCGGCCCAAAGCTGACCCTCCTGTGGTCCTTGGTCCGCAGGGTCCATGATGGAGCCCGCTGCCCGGGGTCGCGCCCCGCCCTGAGTTCCTCAGACAGCCATGCTGCCCCGAGGGCGCCCCCGAGCACTGGGGGCTGCCACTTTGCTGCTGCTGCTGCTGCTACTGCTGGTTGGCTTCTTCCTGTTTGGCCGGGATCCT